CCCCCACCCAACTGGTCAGAGGACTGGGGCACATCTGCTCCTGGTGGATTGTACCCACTCTACAGACACAGAAACTGAGGCTCAGGAGAGCAATCACTTGACTAACATCTCTAAGCCCAAGAACAGGACAGTTGGGCTTTGCATGATTGCTGGCAGATAAATTAGAGGTTTGATGCAAAGTTATCCCAAATGAGGGTGAGATAGTTTAGATGTGGATGGGTCAGGTACTGGGAGCAAGGGTTCTTACCAAGGTGGGGTGGGTGGCCTCTCAGCTTGAAGACACACCTGTAACACAGGAAGGATTTGGTGAGGGTGGGGGAGGAAAGTCTTGGGGTGGGGGTCGGGGTGAAATCCAGAGAACATCAAAACCAAGGCCCCTCAGATCCCCAGGTGTCAAAGGTCCTGGGGGCACTGTGTCCTCACGGGGTAATCGGAGCCCAGTGCTGGACATCATGAGAGCCCGGGTCCCTCTGCAACCAGGTCCCAGGGCCACTCACCTTCAGGGACAGAAGCCAAGCAAGCTAACAGTGCCTAGAGACTGGAAAACACAAATCCATCACGGGGTACAAATGCCCACAGCCTTGCTGTGTGACACCAAGATGCTCTCACCTCCCCAGTGTCACAGGTCCACAGAAGACTGTCCTAAACCCATCACGTAGAGAGAACCTGCTGACTACTCCCCTTGCCCAGTTTTGCAGATTTCCAGCATTGACTCTACCAGCTGCTGACCCTGAACAGTGACCACTAAGATGCAAATCCCTTGGAAGAAACTGTCCAGGGGTGGGGGGCGGTGTATAAGGAGGAAAAGTGAAACCTGAAGCACAAGCAGTCACCAGAGAGCCTTAAAACGCACCAGTTTTGAACAAAACAGTGAAAGACATTTTGGAAATGACAGGAACTATGACCACAGAGCAGATGGGAGATGGCCTCCTTAAGGAATCAATCTCACCGAGGATGATGACAACATTGTCATTAAATAGAGAAAATGCTATTTTAGAGACACTGTGTTAACTATTTTGGATGAATTAAGAAATTTATTTCCAAAACATGAAGTACACAAAAAGCAAACATGGCGAAACGTCCTGTTAAGCGTCTATTTCCCTGTATGTTTGGGGATTTTAACAACGAAAAGGCAATATATGGGACAATGGCAAGAGAGTGATGAATGGATGAGAAACTGCCTTCCACTTGTGACAAGGCAACAGTTAGGATAAAATTAACTGTTTTCTAAAAGGAGAAACAAAGCTGGACGAGATTCTTGCTGGGTTGTGGTGGGGAAACAGAAAATCGACTAGCTATTCCTGGGCTGGATCTCCTTGGAGGAGGTGTGGTATTGCTCGGGAGTCGGGAAAACGCTATCCATAAAGTCCCATTAGCCGAGAACTAACGCTGAACAAAACTCTGATGTTCTGAGCAAGCACAAAACTGATATTTAAATGACTGTGTCAGAATGATTCCTGAAAGTGAACGAAGGCCCCATTTACTTTGTCCGACAACTACTCCCCTCTGGTTCTGACACAACCCAGTAATTCACTTAAGAGATCCCACTCCCACTTCTTCCGCGGCAACCCTCGCGGTCCTGTCTACCTCCCACGCGGCCTCTGTTCTACATCGCACAAACACTCCAGCCACATGAAATCAGAATACGTAAGAACGATTTCCTAAGGAAAGCACGTGGAAGCTAACACTGGAGTGGAAAACCTCAGGCAGAAAGACTATGTCATAAGCCTACCCTCCCCACCTCCCCCCACCCCGCAAATTCCCCCCAGAAGTTGACAAGATGGCGGAGCCCTGAAACGTGGGCAGCAGACACGGCGCAGCCAGACTGCGGCGCAAAGGAGGGCCAGCCCCGGGGGTCCGCCTTCGCTTCGGCAGGACTCCTCCTCCACCCCCTGAGCGCCCCCAGGGAGCCATCACCCTCTCCGAGTGAGCCACTGCCGCCCCGAAGGGAACACTCAGGGATCGCCTCGAGGCGCGGGTGCTGAGTGCTTACGAAGGTCCTGACACCGTCCCCGCCACGGCGTGCCCGCCCCCGCTGCAGCCCCGGGCACACACGTCACGCGTGACCGAGTCCCCAACGCGTGCCCTCCGGCAAACACCAGCAAAACTGAACGCTCACCTCCACTCTCCGCAACGCATGTGCGAGCCGCAGCGCGCTCTGCTTTATTGCGCGCGCCGCTCGCACGGCCCGCCCCGCGGCGCCAGGTGGGCCCCGCCCCGGGGCGTCCAGCAGAGACGCCGGTGTCGAAATCTGTACTTTGGTGCTTGGGGAGGGAAATAGGTAAATAAGAGTAAGAATCTTCCTAACAGGAGATGAGATGAGGGAGGCGGANGAGTAAGAATCTTCCTAACAGGAGATGAGATGAGGGAGGCGGAGGAAATGAGAGCAAGCAAATATTGGGGCTCGTTATCCTGCATTAGAGTTAGGCAATTCTGTGAACAGCACGAGAGGCGGGCCATGGGGGAGAAGGACCCCTCCCCGAATGTGGGCGGGGCAGGAAGGCGAAGCCGCTGGGATTGCCGGAGCGGCAGCGGTGAGCGTGGTGGCTGCGGGGGCGGGGCCTACTCAGTCCCAGCCGCAGGGTGGGAGGCGGGGCCAGCGCGGAGATTGACAAGGGGGCGTTCCGGGAAAACGTCTGCGTGGCGCCAGTTAGAGGCCGAGCCTGCGCAGTGAGAGGTAGGCGGGGCGGGGCAGAGGCTGGAAGGCTGGTTTCCCGCCTGGGTCGAGGGAGGAGGGGCCTGGAGGCCCGGGCTCGCCTGGGAACTTGGATTCTTGGTATGGTTGGCGATTTGAGCAGTGTCTTGCAACTGACATGATTGGAAAAGTTTTTTTTAAAAAAACGTATGAAATGAAACCTCTACTTCAGTCCTCCTAGTGCATACAGTCGGCAGTGTCAACAGGTTGGTGTGGACTTTAATTTTATAGACACGCGCACACACACACACACACACACACACGTCTTATGGGTAAAGATGCTTTTTTTTTTTTTTAAACTCCAGTTTTCCCATACGTAGTCTCGTCCCATCAGTATACGGAGTGACCTCATTCCTTAAGCTGTAGCTAAGTATTCCCTTGTGTGAATAGAACACGCTTTGTTTAGCTGGTTCCCCTGATCACCTGGGAGAGGAGGCTGTGATCTGAAGTAAAGGGAAGAGACCTAAATTCTGCACGTTAAAGAAGTGATAACGTTTCCTTCACTGGTTCTACCTCACTCGGGAATGCAAAGTCCTCACTATGGCCCACACCGCCCAGAGTGACCTGGTCTCTGTTCCCTTTCAGCCCTTATCTTTCCTTCCTTTCTCGTCCTTGCTCAGGCTACACCAGCACATTGGCCTCGCTGGTCTTCCTGGATCCTGTCAAGGACATTTCTACCCCAGGAACTTTGCTTCTGTGGGTTTCCTCTGCCTGGAACTCTTTCCCCCCAATCAATCCCCATGGCTGTCTCTCTCCAGTCCTGTTTCCGCTCAGAGGTCGACTTAGCATGGAGCCCCTGCCTGTCCACTCTATATAACAGACGCTGTCCTTTCCAGACTGGTCTCCCTGACCCTCTGTTCTTTTCCTTCATAGCTCTTCTCTCCTAACATATCTACTTGTGGGCATTTTTTGGGTTTTGCGGGGTGGGGGTGGGGTTGCCTCTCTGCCAAGTTGTCAGTTCTTTAAAGACTAGGATTTGTGTCCAGTTGGCAGTAGACCCCATGGCACGTAGTTGCAGCTCACTTTTTGTTAAAAATGAATACACTGGAGAGCCTTTTGTGGGAGACAAGGGGAACACTTACTGTGACAACACAATGAGCACATACTACAGACTAAACTCTAACTAGATTAAGGTAAACATGTACACCCATGGCTGATTCATGTCAATATATGGCAAAAACCCCTACAATATTGTAATTAGACTCCAATTAAAATAAAATTTTTTAAAAAAGGTACAATTGGCTTTCTGTGTCCACAGATTCCACATACATGATTTAAACCAATCTCAGGTGGAAAAATTTGGGGAAAAAAAAAAATAGTTCCAGAAAGTTCCTAAAAACAAAACTTAAATTTGGTGTGTGCCTCAGCAACTCTTTCCATAGCATTTCCGTTTTATTACATATTGTAGGTAAATCTTCAGATGATTTAAAATGTACAAGAGGATGTGCACAGTTTATATGCAAATACCCTACAATTTTAAAACCCATCTATTGCTGTGCTGGGTCTTCACTGCTGCGCGTGGGCTTCCTCTAGATGCAGTGAGCAGGGGCCGCTCTCTAGTTGTGATACGGGGGCTTCTCATTGTGGGGGCTTCTCTTGTGTGGAGCATGGGCTCTAGAGCGCGGACTCAGTGTTTGTGACTCTCGGGCTCTAGAGTGCGGGCTCAGTAATTGTGGTACACGGACTTGGTTGCCCCATGGCATGTGGAAACTTCCTGGACCTGGGATTGAACCCATGTCCCCTGCATTGGCAGGTGGATTCTTGACCACAGGGTTACCAGGGAAATCCACTCTGCAATTTTATATAAGGGACTTGAGAATCCACAGAGTTTGGTATCCAGGGGAGTCTTGGAACCAATTCCCTGCAGGTACTGAGGGACAACTGTACTGTCTTTATCCCCCAATCCATCTGCAAAAACTGGCTACATGTAACAGCCTTTAAAATAAATAAATAGGGAAGGAATGGGATGCTATAAATTTTTTTTTTAAAGTTAAAGGAATAGACTTGTGTGGAGAGAAGTAAGGGGTGATGGCAGGAGCTGTAAGGGGTAAGGGCAAGAGGCGAAATGTGGGTGCCAGGAAGAGCAAATTGTTAGGGGGGGTCACAAGTGTGAAGAATGAAGCCCAAATAGCTTGAAGAGAGTCAGCTGTTCAACAGACATTGCTTGAGCACCATCTGTATGCCAAGAACCTCTCCCATCTCTTTCCCCCAAGGCCCTCCCCCACCCATCCCTCTCCCCCAGAGGGCCCCCAAGGAGGCATGGCATTTCCAGGGAACACTTACAAGGTATTGAAATAAACGAACGTTCTAGGTGAGAAATACAGATTATTTGAAAATACACATCATTAATCTGAGTTGGAGGAATTTCAGAGGGGACTGAAAAAAGGGCAAGACTCTTGGTGGGGGTTGGGGGCTAGAGAGCAGGGCTGGCAGGTTGCTCGGCAGGGAGCCGCGTGAGCAGAGGAGGCGGGGAACACCCCCACTTCTTAAGTCCAGATGGCCTGGTTCGCCAGGAGGGACCAGAAATTTATGTAGTTCAAATAGGAAAAGAGACCTGGGGGAAGAAAGAGAGCAGAGAGGGTGAGGCGCAGAGTTCACCAGCCCAAGCCTGATGCCAGTCGCTTCTCCAAGCCCAGCTACGCTCCCTATCACGTCCCCAGACTCAGGTCTAAACCCAAACTCAGCCCCATACCCCTACGTGGTACCCAACCCACTCCCAAATCCAAACCCCAACCCCGCCCCTACAACCCAACCCCATATCCCTCCTCAGTCCAGTCCTCCTTGTCCACAAGCTCACCCTATCCCAAATCTATCCCACCCCGGTCCCCATCTGCATCCTGGAACCCATGCCCAAGCCCCGAACCCTAACCCCGCCCTGGGCCCGACCAATCATCACAAAGAAGAAGACTCCGGTCCATGCCAGGTAGAAGCTGCACCCCAGTTTGTAGGTCATGCCTTCCTGCAGGTATTCCCGGGCCTGCATCAGGTAGAACAGGATACCCAGGATCATGCTGGTCCCTGCGTGAATACAGGTGTTAGGAGGCCAGGCGGCACATGTGTCAGGACCCCTGCCCAGAGCTGCGTGGCTGCCAGGGTCTTGCTCCTTATTTTCCCACTTGCTTTCACCTTCATGAACCTCTGCTCACAGGCAGGAAAACTGGCTCCTGACAGTATCATGGTGGAGGACGTGGGTAAGGGCAAGGCTTGGCTCTTTAACCAGGCAATGGTGATGTCTAAAACCACAGGCTTTGGAGTTAGCAGACTGGAGCTCTTGTCTTGCTTCTGTATCCCCCATCTCAGGGCAGCCATTCCCATCTCTCTGAGCCTCATTTCCCTCATCTGTAAAATGGGAGTAGTCGTAGGACCCATCTCCTTGGGCCGTCACGAGGAGTTATTGAGATTGGCACACAGTGGGTCCTCAAAAACTGAGATTATCGTTGCTCTATTGGGTCTTTAATTTTGGGCTTCTGAAGCAGTGGACAAGAAACTTAGTCATTCTGGATATTTTAATTTTATTTTGAAATGACATGAATGTAATTTGTGAACTTCCCCTGGTGGCCCAGTGGTTAAGAATCCGCCTGCCAATCCAGGGGACATGGGTTCGATCCCTGCTCCAGAAAGATCCCACATGTTGTGGGGCAATTAAGCCCGTGTGCCTCAACTACTGAAGACTGCTCGCCCCGGAGCCCGTGCTAAGAAGCCACCACCAGGAGAGGCCCGTGCAGTCAATGAAGAGTAGCACCCACTCACTGCAACCAGAGAAAGCCCATGTGCGGCAGCAAAGACCCATCAAGGACAACAAAAAATAAATCTTTTAAAAAAAAGACAATTTGTGAAAAGGAAAAGACTCTTTTTCCTCCCCTCCTTGCATCCAGTGGCACAAGGGATCTCAGTTCCCCAATGAGGGATCAGAACCCATTCTTCCTGCACTGAAAGCATGGAGTCTTAACCACTGGACAGCTGGGGAAGTCCCAGCTGTGATTTTTCTTCAGAGAAATGTCCTATTTTAGATGACATAAAGCAGAGATGTTTTCTACACTTTGTCCCTTAAACAATCAGGAAGAGTTACTGGACAAACTGGATAAAATACCTTTTACTAACAAGAAAACAGGAAGCTGGGTATTCTTTCTTGTTGGCCTTACTATCACTCTCCAAAAATGTTCTATTGATTCAACAGACTGTTGTGGTCCATTTTTACAGGAGACAGGAACACAATATCCTTTATTTCCAAATTAAAACGACCCTCCCCCCCATCCCTTCCCCACCCCTGCACTACTTTTCGAAAAAAAAAAGCGTAACTTGGCACGCAAATGGAAAACCAAACTATTCTAATCAGAATATTGATTTTGAGTTATTTGGAAAAGAGTGAGAGGACTATCATGCAAGACTGTGTGCAAAGCTAAATAGCTACCATCATGTACAGATGTTTTCTCATTCAGCCCTCCCTGTGTCTCCACATGGCAGGAAATGTTACCCCCTTGCTACAGATGAGAAAAGTGTGGCTCAGAGACGTGACCTAGCTTCAACAAAATCAGAGCCGGTGGTGGTGGTGGTGAGACAGGGTCTGGGATGGACTTGACACTGAACATGGGGTTGAGTATTGGGGCAGTGGATATTTGAGGGATGGACTCAGGTTTGGAGGGGGTTGGGAATGGGGATGGATTGGAGACGGGTGAGAAGATGGGGTTGGGAATGCATCGGGTTGAGTCTGAGAGCTAGAGTCACAGGTGACCAGGGTGTGGTGGTGGTTGAGGTTGGGGATGAAGAAGACGGGATCAGAGATGGATGGGGCTTGAGTTGGAGGTTGAGACTCATAGGGGACAGGGGTGGGTGGAATTTGGCATGAGTCTTGAGGAGGGTTAGGCATGGAGCTTTGGTGTCGAGGTTTGTAAAGGGGTCGGAGATGGTAAGGGGGATAGTTTGGAGGCTGGAAAGAAGGTAATGTCGGAGTGGGCGTGGGGATGGGAACGAACATCACATATGGCAATATGAATGAATTGGAGGTGTGCTGGTGGAGGTGGAAGGTGACGTGGAGGCTGGTGTCGGGGCTGGAGAAGTTGGGTTGGAAACCGATCTTCTGTCCTGGGATGGAGTGGAGATGTGGAGGGAGACAGGCTTGGGGTGGGGGCTGCAGGGCGAGGATGGGGATGGGACTGGAGCATGGGGGGGGGGGCTGGGGTATCAGGACGGGCACTGGGCACTCCTGACTTGGCTCCTCTGGGGGGGTCTCAGCACCGTGCCTGTGAGGGCAGTGATGATAATATTGGAGAAGTCCAGCAAGGGCACATTGGAGTTGGTGGAGAAGATGATGTTTATTAGAATGATGCAGAGGATGAAGTTGGTCACACTGGCAACCAGGAAGAAGGCCCAGGTAAGGTCCAGCAAGTCTGGGGAAGGAAGAGAAGCAGGAACACCGGGACAGGCCCTCAGGCCCCGAACATGGCAGGGAGAAGGTCTCCAAGGAGCCTAGGAGCATTGTTAAGCCCTCTCCCTTGAGAATTCTTTGTTTCCAACCCCCCCTCCCCCCCGCCCCGCTGCTATATTATAAGAAAATTGAAACTGGGCTCCGGAGAAGGGAGGTTGAGGCAGATGCCTTCCGCGTTGAGGTATGCACCTCCAGGTCAGTAAGGACAAGTTCTTGGGCAGTGACGGGCGGGGTGGGCACTGAGGAGCCAGCTTGACGCCATATGGACAGATTCCTCAGGGATAGTAAGATGCTAAGGTCGTGAGAGCTGTGAGGATGGGTATCACATAGGTGAGAATGAGCAAAGGACAGTGAGGATGGCTCTGAGGCGGTGAGGACCCTCCTGGGAAAAGGGAGGACCCGCCATGGGGAGGGGGAGGACCAACCCAGGGCAGGGAGGACCAACCCAGGGGAGGCAGGAAGGCCCAACCCAGGGGAGGCAGGAAGTCGGGGGGGGGGGGTGTCCCCAGAACAAAGAGGAAAGAGGGGCCCCAGGAATAGCATAGGGCAGGCCTTACAAGCATTCTGGTCATACTCGTGCATGCAGGCCACATCCGGGCAGCGGATGAACAAGATGGTGTCGATGGAGATGGTCCGGAAGCCAGGGTCCCCAGGGAGTGCCAGGGGCACCTGGAAGTGGATCCAGGGCTGGCCCAGAGAGATGAGGCCGATGATGACTATGCTGGCCAGGCTCAGCAGTAGGTTCAGCTGGCGGCTGATCCTCTTGGCCTCATGCAGCAGCCACCAGCCCATGGGCAGCTGAGAATGGCTGAGCCTATACTTGTCCAGACACCTGCAGTGGGTGGTCCACCACCAGGGTCAGCATCGGGTCCAGCCGGCCAGCCCAGCTGAGCCCCCCCGGCTTCCAGGTCCAACTGCCAGAATCCCGGCCAATCTGACGTTCAGACTCTCTCTTCCCTGTGTCCATTCTCCATGCCCTGTATCCCCCAGGTCCCCCCTCTAGGACCTGCTCACCCCCGGAACAGCCTCAAGGCTCCCTGGCCAGTTCCTAGCTTCCAGGAGCTGCCACTGCCCCTTCCAATCGCTGGGTGGAATCACAAGTCCAGGCTCTATGCTGTGCCCTACCCAGGGCCAGCCTTCATCCCTGCTACCCCTAAGTCCAACCTCTACTTCATATACTGACCATGCCTCCCTGGTCCCTGACTTTTGCCTGATAGCCCACCCCCTAGAACTCTGGACCCCAAACCCGCCCTACTCCCTGCACCCCTGCCTCTCACCTGCCAGCACTGTTCTCGAAGGAGGCTGATGGTAAGTTCTGAGTGTTGTTTTCCAGGATGGACTGGCTGATTTGGGAGCTGGTCGAAGAGTCTCTGATGGTCTCCTGGGATGTCCAGACAATTGACTCGACACTTTTGATACTGGCCTCAGGACTGTGAGTAACTGAAAGGGGGACATCGACTCTGGCCCGCACTGGTGAAGTGGAGCTTTGAAGACTTAACTGGGGACTCTGGACACTAAGTTGGCTGTGGTAGGTCACTGATTTTATGTTGGTCAGAGGGGTGCGAGTAGTTAGCAGGGGGTTTTGGTTGCTGAAGAAGCGACTTTGGAAAACTGGGGGCGCGTCTCGGGTGTGGAACTGGCGGCTGTAGGTGACGGATAGTGGGTCTTGTATGCTGGCCTGGTGAGAGCCGATGACGGGTGTCGTGTCCTCAATACTGAGTCGCTGACTGTTGATGGATAGAGGGTCTTGGATACTGACCCGGCGACTCGGGGTGCTGGACTGAGAGTCTTGGATACTGACCCGGCGACTGTGGACAATAGGCAGGGGCTCTTGGATGCTGACCCGACGAGTCGGGGTGCTGGACTGAGAGTCTTGGATGCTGACCCGGCGACTGTGGACAATAGGCAGGGGCTCTTGGATGCTGACCCGACGAGTTGGGGTGCTGGGCTGAGAGTCTTGGATACTGACCCGGCGACTGTGGACAATAGGCAGGGGCTCTTGGATGCTGACCCGGCGAGTCTGGGGGCAGGACTGAGAGTCTTGGTTACTGAGCCGGGACCTGAAGGTGCTGGATGAAAGGTTTTGGGTCTCACCTTGGGAGCTGCTGGGAGCAGCCGGGAGGGAACCTGGCTGAGCACTCTGCTCACCAGAATGGGACCTCTGGGCCATGTGGAGATGTGGGCCAAGGCCGGTGCCCGATGCACTCAACACCCTGCCAGCGGCCTCATCCTCCTGTGCCAACCATCACCACGTCCTCCTGGGAGCCCATTGGTCCCTCCTGGGCCTCCGGCTCTGTCCCTCAGGGTCTGAATCTCTCTGTCCCTTCCCCTGTCAGTCGTGGCCTCTCTCTGTCCCCAGGCAGGCCTCGGAGCTTTAGTCTGGCCTGGCGCTGGGGCTGGGGGCGGGGGGCGTTCCATGACAGTTGGAGGGGTTCCAGGAGGTTGGGACGTTGGCCATGGACTCATGTTCTACTCTAGCCCCATGTGAGAGATGTGGGGGCTTGGGCTGGGTCAGGGTAGGGTCTGGGTGGGGTCAGGATTGGGTCAAGAAAGGGGTCATGGCTGGGTCAGAGAGGTGTCAGGACAGGGCAGCGTTAGGGGTAGAGAATTGGGATTGGTCAGGGTGAAGGCAGAGCAGGATCGCAGAGGGGCCAGGGTGGGGTCAAGGGGTAAGCGAGGGACCAGAGTGGGGTCAGGGCCAGACATGGCAGAGTCAGTGCTGGGTCATGGGCCACATCTGAGATCCATTCTTGCAGTTTCTGGAGGGCCTGAGATCTGAATCTCTAATTCCTTCCCCCTGCCTGTTCTCACCCTTCCCCTCTCCCCCAGGACCTTCTGCAAATCAATTTCATCCCTTTATTCACATCTCAAGTTCTACATCTTCTTGCTCTCTTTACTTCTCCTCTGCCTTTGTGTCTCCTAACCTTTCCCTGAATCTTGCAAAAGACTGGGTCTCTTCCCACAGTCCTTGGTGACTGTTGGGTGCACCACCCATGTTCACGCTTATTCTTGCCTCTGCGGGGTCTTCATCGCTGCCCGAGGGCTTTCTCTAGTTACAGAAAGCGGGGGCTGCTCTCTAGTTGCAGCATGCAGGCTTCTCATTGCAGTGGCATCTCTTGCTGGGGAGCTCGGGCTCTCGGGGCATGGGCTTCAGTAATTGCCGCACATGGACTCCACCGTTGTGGCTCCCAGCTCTAGAGCACAGGCCCGGTGGTTGTGATGCATGGCTTAGCTGTTCCGAGGCATGTGGGATCTTCCCGGATCATGGATCCAACGGGTGTCCCCTGCATCGCAAGGCAAATTTTTCACCACTGGACCAGCAGGGAAGCCCTGGTGGTCACTCTTTGGGCATCATGGGTCTTGGCCTTATGAGCACCCTTTGGAGCCTGTGTCACAGCTGTCCGTGTCCTGGGTTGGGATCTGAGACAGGGATGAAGATAGGGGGATGATGTTGGGAGCTGAGATTTGGGGAAAGAGGGAACAGAAGATGAGGTTAGATTTGGGTTTAGGATGGGTTGTAGGTGGGAGGTGACTGGCGCCATCAGGGTCAGAAATGGGAATGGAGTTGTGTTTGGGGTTTAGGACAGGGAGCGTCCTGGAGATGGATGGGGTCGTGGATGGTGCTGGGATGGGACAGGAAGCAGAGATGGGGACGCAGCTGGGATTGGGGTTTGGGCGGGGATGGAAGATGGCTGTGGGTGGAGGGGAGCTGAGTACAGGGTAACAGGCAAGGTGAGGGTGGTGGGCTGGCGGGGGGGATGCGGTTGTGTTGGAAGGTGGAAACTAGGATGTAACAGAGTGATGCAGGCTGAGCCAGGCCCTGGGAACTCTGTTCTTCCCCAGTGGAACCGGTCTCTTCTTGGGAAGAGGACCGCAAGTTCGTCCTGCGAGCTTGGTGTCTCGTCTTCATCGTCCTGGCAACCATGATGCTGCTCAGTGTGTTGGACGGGCGTATGGCCTACCTGTACGGCTCCTACACTGGCTACGTGGGCTTCTGGACCAACTGCAGGAAGCACATGTGTGCTGACCTGCACCAAGTCACTGGTCAGTGGGAGATGGGGCAGAAGTGGGGCGCTTGTGGGGTGGTGGTCCTAGAGATGATCAAGGGAGAGCACCTCTGGGGGAACCTCTTTGGGTGTTCTTGGTTGCCAGGGCAATCTTTAGGATTCTTGAGGGGCTCTCTACAAATTCTCTGAAGGCCTTGGGAGGGAGCTTCCTGGAGTTGTATGCAGCTTATGAGGCAACGGGAGTGGCCTTGTGCTCGGGAAGAAGAGTGCTTGCTACACTTGGCCAAACCCCAATCTGCTTCATGATTAGGTGGCTAAAGACACCATAATTCTCTCTCCCACTCTTTTTATTTATTTTATTTTATTTATTTATTTAAGAAAGAAAGCAAGAGGCTTCTAGCTCCTTCAGGAATTTTTTTAAATAACAATCTGTTTTTGGCTGTGCTGGGTCTTCACTGCTGTGTGGGCTTTTCTCTAGTTGCGGTGCATGGGTTTCCCCCTGTAGTTGCGGTGCATGGGTTTCCCCCTGCGGTGGCTCCTCTTGTTGCAGAGCACAGGCTCTAGGGCGGTGGGCTCCCGTAGTTGCAGCTCCTGGACTTGAGAGCACAGGCTCAGTAGTTGTAGTACACAGGCTTAGTTGCCCCGAGGCATGTGGAAGTCTTCCCGGACCAGGGATCGAACCTGTGTCTCCTGCATTTGGCAGGTGGATTCTTTACTGCTGAGCCACCAGGGAAGCCCAGAAACATTTTTCTTCCTTATAGGTCTCTGCTTTTCCAGTGCTTTTGAGCGTTACCACAGAGGCAGCCCAGACCCTGGAGCCAGAGCACCTGAGCTTGAACCCTGGCTCAGCTACTTGGTGGCTGAGTGATCTTGGGCATATTTCTTTACCCTTGTGTGGCTTGGCTTCCTCATTTCTATAATGCCAGTGATATTGGTACCTATCTGTGGGCTGTTTGAGGAATATGTGAGTTAAAGCACACAAAAGAATTAGAATAGCACCTGGTGCATATTACAGTAAGTGTTTCATCCAGGTTTTTTCTTATTATCATAAGGATTTTGCCCCACCTACCTTCATTTCAGATCGCAAATAAGTGCTCATAAAACTTTGAGAACATTGTGTAGTATTAATCTTACTTACTTGGGACATCTCTTTCTCTTATACCTCTCAAACTCAAGCTCGTTTCAAGTTACAGAAAAGTCCACAGGCGTAAATTGTTTGGGTTCAGGTACTGCTGGATCCGGGTGCTCAAAAGGTGTCTCTTGCCATCTCTCCTTGAAGGCTTCCTGTGTGCTGGGCCCTCAGGCAAGCTGTGCTGTATAGCGGCAGAGGGGCTGTCTGCAGCTTCTGGGGTCCCATTTTGTTTTTCCTGTAAACAACCATGGAGAAAAGAAAGTAAGTTGTCCACAGAAGTGGCCCTCATATGAGCGTCTCAGGATTAGCTCCAATGGGACCAGATTTACTACCCTGAGATTTCTCACTTCTCCCTGAACCATTTTGTTGTGGTTAGGATGATGTCATTCTGTGGTTGGCTGGATTCCATGAGGCTGGATCTAAGTCTCAGGAAGCTCCAAGCTCATAATCCTCTTGATTAGAGAAGAAAGAGCTGGTACCTGATAGTTTCAGTTAGAAAAAGTCTCAGGGAAGAGTTTGGTTGGTTGGCCTTGGTTCATGTGCCCATGTTTGAGCCAATCACCACTGCCTTAAGTCACTGGGGCACCATGATTGAGTCAGCCTGAGTCACATGACTACTTCTGTGATCCCAGAGGGCAGAGTATGTCTGTGATCCCAGAGGGCAGAGTATGTTGTCAACCAGGATAATGTGATTGATCCCGAGAGCACTACTTCTATTTTGTATATGCATGTGGTTTGCCAGTAACAAAGCAGATGGAGTTTTAGCTCATTTGGATGAAACAGTCTTGCACTGTTCAAAAGTAGTTAACATAGGAAAGGGCTAAAAGGAAGATATGTAATTCTCAGAAGGGGCTGAAACTCTTGTCATGCTGAAATGAAAACTGGATAAATATCAATTTCAAACTGAGCATGTGATTATGTCTTTTAGGTACTTTTTTAGAGTTTTTGGAAGTTTTCTTGTGTATATATCTGTGTGTGTGCTCTGGGGGACGTCTGGGGGGTTATTAGAATGTCTGTGAGGGGCTCTAGGGTGTGAGTGGGGGTGACCTTGGTATATCTGGGGATGCCTAGGGAAGTGAATGGGGTCATTAGAGAACCTTGGGATATGAGTGGGAGAGAAGTAGGGTGACTTTACAGATAATGAAAGTGGCTGAGTTGTCCGGGGTAACTTCGAAGGTGCTACTGGGGGTGTAGGATTGGTATTGAGGGTATAAATGTGATCTGCTGTGGGAAATCTTTTGGGAGTACGAGCAGAGTAACTTTGGGGGTGTCTGTGGGGATAATTCTAGAAATACTAGAGATGATTCTGTGGGCTGAACTTGAGGATATGGTTGGGGGTGACTCAGGGACCATCTGTGGGGTGACCTTAGAGGTATGTGTGGAGTTGATTATGAGAGTGACTGGGGTTGACTTTGGGGTAAGAGGGGGTGACTTGGGACAACTTTGAGGGTACAAGTGGGGATAACTTGTTTTAAAATTGAGGTATAGTTTATTTACAACATTATATAAATTTCAGGTGTACAACACAGTGATTCACACTTTTTAAAAGAAAGTGGGGATGATTTTGTGTTGATTTTATGGGTACATGGACTTTGTGAGAGTGGGAATCATCTTGGAGTTTCTAGGAGGTGACTTTGGTGATGGCATTGGGGGCGAAGTTGAGGATGTCTGTAGCTAAACTTCAGGGGTGTCTGTTGGGGAAGACTTTGGAGGGTGACCTTGGAGAGTATCTAGGGGTGAATCTGGGGCATTACCTCCTTTCCCCCCAGTTCTCATCCACATGAGCATGGGCTTCATGATCCTGGCCATGATCCTGTCTCTAGTCCTCCTCTTTGCCATGGGCTTCTCCTTCCGGCCAGCGCTCCGCCGTCTTAACAAGACTGACCTCGTCTTCAGTACCCTCGGCTCCTTCACTGGTAAGTGTCGCCCTGGGAAAAGGCTTCGGGGAGGGGTGTCCCAGAATTTCTGTCCTGCTGGGTCTCTCGGAATGTCTCTTGAGCTCTGCGCCTCACCCCCACTGATCTTGCTGTAGGTTTCTTAGTTCTAACTGCTATATCCCTCACTCTCTTCCTGTTTCCCTGCTCCTGGTATCTTTCTGTTGTGTATGTGTGTGTCCGCACGCTTGTCATGCTGGGTGGGAGAGGATGTCTCTGGCTCGCTTCTCTTTCTGGAGGTATCTGGGTCCCTGTCCAGCCTCGTGGCCATCTCTGGCCCCATCTCAGTGCAGGGCTCCTGATTCTCCTCAGCCTGACGCTCTTTATAGCCAACTGCGAGATGCTCCAACCGAGGCCACACGTATCCTACCTGGTGACTACCTACCTGAGCTGGGGTGCCGGCGCCTTGATGCTGTGGGCCGGTGAGGGCGGGGTCTCGGCGGGGCAGGGGGTGAGGCCCGGGGCGAGCGTAGCAGGCAGGGCCTCGGACCGGATTGGGGTGGACCCCACGGGAGGTCAGCCTACAGGGACGGGCTGGGGCCTAGGGGGCCATCTAGCACCCCCACTCCCGCCCCCAGGAATCCTGAGCTACTTAAACTACATGGGCATGTGGGGCAAAGGGACGCCCTCCATGGAACGGCGGATGAGCTACCGCCGGTGGGCCTCGCTGCAGAGCACCCGGAAGTCCATATCCGAACCGCCATCGGATGCAGGGTCCAAGCACACCGAAGACCTGTCCGTTTAAGAGCCTGCCCCCCGCCCCGCCCCGCCCCCCCCAGCCTCGTCCAAGCCTCTCGAAGCCAGCGGCACCCGAGCTTCTCAGGACACTGACGCGTAACTGCCGCCAGGTGCCGGACCACCCCTTTCACCTTGGCCTTCCCGCCCAGCGAGTCTCTCCCTGCCCCCACCCCGGAAGTACGACGCCGGCCCCTCGCTTTCTGCTAGCCCAATCGGTGTGGCCCCGCCCTCGAGTCTGGCGAGGCCCCGCCCCCGACCCTGGCGAAGCCCCGCCCCCAACTCTAGCGAAGCCCTGCCCCCGTGTGTCTAGCTCTCACTGACGGTGGCCCGAAGCCTCACTCCATTATAGGCATTCCTACCCCTCCGAGGGCCAGCACTGGCCCAGAACGTCCAGTCTGGCCCCCCGGACCGACATGACACTGCCCAGCGTTGGATGTCGCCCCGCTCCTCGGTGGAACAGGCCCTACCCTGGGGGGGCGTGGCTTGCAATTCCATTTCCACCCTCCTTCACGTTCCTGGCTTTCCCAGCCACCAATAAAACGTGGGTTCCTTTTCTCAGAGTCCGAGCCTCCGTTTCCTGCTCTCCCTCCAAGGAAGAGTGGGGCTCAGAGTCCTTGCCTTGCCCTTTGGGGTCTGAGCTTTTCTGTCTACACCGGCCTCTGACCCTTCCTTTCCCCGCTGTTCATAACTGCATATCTCCCGCCAAGAGTCCGGACTAGAGTCTGGGGAGGCTCTAGTCCGGGCCGGATGGGCCCCGAGTTCCCAGGTGTCCAGCATCTGGAAATCCCGAACGACATCAGGACTTGATGGGAGTTTGATGCATATTCGATTTTACTGGGGGTAAGGGACAGGGCAGGGGCATTCAGGGGTTGTCAGTCATGGTCTTATTGATCCAATCCAGATACAAAATCACTTTGGTGTAGACGGAGGGCTTATTGGGAGAGCCACACGGGATGTGGCCCCATGACGTGATTCCTTGCAACATACCCTCGCAGATCAGCGGGCCCCCTGAGTCACCCTACGGCACAAAGGGGGAGGGGAGAGTGTGAGAGAGGTTAGGAAAGGCTTGAGGGTTTTCCCTGGTGAGCTCTAGCCCTTGGACGCGAGTGCAGAGATCCAGACAGTAACTCCCCATGTCTGGAGAAAGAGACAGCTGTCTCCAGAGACCACTCCCTGAAGAACATCAGCGTGGATTCCAACAGAGGGGACAGTGGCTCGAGCCCTGCTGATGGCGAGAGGGCCTCAGGGTCCAGTGTCTGCCCAGGGGGGCAGGATTCAGGAGCAAGATGGTCCTGGCAGGCGGGTCAGTGCGGAGGAGGAGCAGGACCCTACAGGACCCGCCCACCCTCAAGCTCACCTCAGGCTTTCTCTGACTGGACCAGAAATACGTGTCAGAGGGAGGAATGTGTGAACTGTGATGTGTGTGGAAGTTGGGGATACAGGAAGGAAAGGGGGCAACGAGCTACAGCTGCGAAGCGATGGAGACGGATGTCTGCTTAGCTCTGAACCCCAGCCCAGAATCTGAGCCCCCTCCTCCAGCACTTCAAGGCCCCGGGGTGGGGGGTGGGGGTCAGGCTGGCTCACCACGCAGGTGTCCTTGCCGCCCTCTAGGTGTCCAGCACACAGCATGCTCTCTGTCACCTCCTGGGGGTGGGCTGCGGCACACTTCTCATTGGGCAGGAGGGTGAGGTCCACACACTGGAGATCGTCTGGGTAAGAGACTACGGGCCAGGGAGAGACGCGGCTGCAGCCAGACCCCACACCCTCAGCCCTGCTCCCTCAGACTCTGGAGGCCAGGTCCCCAGCCCCCGCCTCCCGCACAACCCGTGCACCGTCTGGACCCCGGCATACACTCATCTGGCTTGATGCTGCCCCAGCCGGAGGCGAGGCAGGTGGTCCCCAGTTGGGGCTCCTCGGTGGGCAGACTCAGGACCTGCACGTCCTCTGTGAGCTGGAGGGGCTCCTGCAGACGGAGCAGCATGAGGTCGTGGCTGTAGTCCTCTCCTGGCTGGCGGGTGTGGTTCTCCAGGAGGCTTAGGTTGAATCCGGGGTTTGGGAAGGCCTCACTGACAACGGCGAACTGGGCCGTGTCTTCGTCCTCAAACAGGTTGTGGCGACCCAGCCAGACCTGGTAATTGCTGGAGGAAGGAGAGGATGGAGACCTTGAGAATGGGGGTGGGAGTTGGGGGCAGGAAGGGCTTCCCTGGTGGCTCAGACGGTAAAAGAATCTGCCTGCAATGCGGGAGACCCGAGTTCGATCCCTAGGTCGGGAAGATCCCCTGGAGAAGGGAATGGCCACCCACTCCAGTATTCTTGCCTGGAGAATTCCATGGACAGAGGAGCCTTGCGGGCTACAGTCCCTGGGATCACAAAGAGTCGGACAGGACTGACAAGCAAGCAATGGGGGAGGAAAGGGAGATGGAGCAGGAGAGCATGAGGAGGGGTCCAAAGAGAAACAGGAAAGGGGGGGCGCAGGAGAGAGAGACAGGAAAGATACAGTCACAGAAAACAGAGAAGAGTGAGTGCAAAAATAAGAGAATGTGACAATGTCACAGACAGAGACAAAGAAACGGAGTGAAAAAGAGCTTGGAAAAGCAGAGGGGATGGGAAGACGGAGGAGAGACAGAGAGAGAGGCAGAGCACACGGGAGGCGAGGAAGGGACGGAGACGGAAATAGACTAAAAAAAAAAAAGAGGAAGGGAGGACAAGGACGGAAGGAGCAAGGAGAGCGAAAACGGGGCCACCCGAGGAGGGAGGAAGAGAGAATGAGCAACAGAGGCTGGGGAGGCGAGGCGCGGAGACTTTGACAGCGAAAAGAGAGGGGGGAGGGGGTACCAACTCAGCTGCAGCGAGGCTCGGGGCTGGATCCCCAGCGGGCAGGTGGCCTGGCCCCCGGCCCAAGGTCGCGTCCCCTTCCTACCCCAGCTCCTTCCCTCCCTCTTCTTCCTCCTTCCCTCCACTGTCCCCGCCTCCCCAGCTCCAGCTGACACCAGCCCTGCTCTGTGTCCTCTTAGAGCTACCCCTCAATACACAGATGGGGACAGTCTCATCCGTTTCTCTGGGGAGGAGGCGTGCTCAGTAGTGATGGAAGAGGGCAGAGTGAGAGAGACAGACAGACAGACACAGAGACAGAGAGACAGAGATAGACAGAAAAAGAGAGAGAGACAGACAGACACAGAGACAGACAGAGACAGAGAGAGACAGAGAGATGGGGGGCAGGGCAGAGAGATGGAGGGTGAGACATAGGTGATAAAGATGGTAGCAGAGACCTTGAGATGGACAGAGACAGGGAGAGAGACAGAGATATGGAGACAGAAGTGAGAGGGAGATAGACATAAATCGTCGTCACAGACACACAGAACCAGTGAGAGACTGACAGGACAGAGGGAGCCATAGAAAGACAGAGGGACAGTTAGGAGGACTGATGCAAGAGGCCCAGGCAGCCGTGGAGCAGGCTTCCCTGGGGTCATCCAGTCCCAGCCCTGCCTCTCTTTCGCCTTGTGGCCCTGGACCACAACCCCCTCCCAACCCCGTCTCTGCCTGAGGTCCCCAGGCTCCCCTGAGGTTATCCGAGGGGACAGTGCCTGTGTGGGCGTGTTAGTTGCTCAGTCGTGTATGACCCTTTGCAACCTGTAGCCCGCCAGGCTCCTCTGTCCATGGGATTCTCCAGGAAGGAATACTGGAGCGGGTTGCCATTCCCTTCTCCAGGGGATCTTCCCGACCCAGGGATTGAACCCAGGCCTCCAGTATTGCGGGCAGACTCTTTCCCGTCTGAGCCACCAGGGAAGCCCACCCAAGGGTCAGTGCTAGCCGCTTAATCCTGTGTACACGGGGCCCCCTCCAGACCCCCTGCCCCTACTCACTCGCTCTTGCAGTGAGCGGCTGTGAGCACCCACTGGGGGGCCACCAGGACGCCCCCGCACTGGAAGGTGCTGAAGTGGTATATAGCCACCTGCCAGGGCTGGGAATGCTTCTCACACTCCTGGCCTCCGATGATCCGGGACTGAATGCGGTGCACAGCGCCTGCAGAGGGGGTGTGCCGGGTCATGTAGGGAGGGGGGGCAACACAGTGGGGTGAAGGGCCCCAGCTGTGGGATTGCAGGGCCTTGGGGGTGCCCGACAAGACCTGGTGGGGGGTCTGAGGACATGGGCCAGGGGCCGTGCGAAGGGCCTGGAATTCTGGGGGCCATCCCTGGGGTGGTGGGGTGGTGTTGGCAGTGATCCTGGGAGTGGAGACTGCAGAGCAGAGAGCTGACCCCGGGGTTTAGGGAGGGAATGACAAGACAGCATGTGCAGCAGGCATCTGGTGTGGGGTCGGGTGGCCTGCCTTCTTGGATTGGAGGATGGGAGGCTCTGGGCTCTGGGAGGGGAAACCGAGGGTTAAAGGCCCCAGGAGGCTGGGTCCCGAGGCTGCAGGGGAAGGGATCGGAGGATGGAAGGGCTCCCAGGCTGATGAAATTTTTAGGGCAGGGGCTGACTGTCTGGGCTCTGGAAAGAACACATATTAGCGGATTCAGGTTAGAGGGGCCAAGAAAAGCATCAGGGATCTGGGGACTCCTGGATTGGGGCTGGGGGATTTGGGAGAGTCTGGGGTTCCGGATCAAAGGTTGAATAAAAGGATTAGGCTGGGAAAGGAGTCCTGTGAGGGTCAGAGTCCTGCAATCCAGGAATGGCAGTCTAAGAGGAGTTAGGGCTCTGGAACCAGGTTGGGGTCAGATTGGGAGGGAGCTTGGGAGGAGGGAAGGTGGAATGATGGTCATTCTGGATTCAGGTGGTTCTCATGGGGATGGGGCTCATGGTCTGAGGACCTGGGGTTCTCCTGGGGGCACGGCCAGAATAGAAGCGAAGGAGAAGCCATGCCAGGGGCCAAGCAGCTGTGGGGACACAGAACTCACTTGATGGGGGAGGTTTTAGAATCAGATGTTGAGGTATCTTGGGACAGGACAGCTGGGCTGGGAAGCTGTGTGTTGGGATCTTGAAGGGGTGGCAGGGGGTCCCAGAAAACCAGAGCTGGCTGGGAGGAGTTCAGCTGGACAAGAGCTGGCACGTGGGGGAGGATGGGAATTCCACATGGAAAGGGGCATGTGGTTGTGGGTTCTGGATATTTTTCCTCATGGGGAGAAGGCTGAGGGTGTGGGATGGAGGTTCTGGAACAAAGAGAGGAGGAAGAGACACTTCCAAAACCCCCCACACCAGATGGGAGGCCCACCTGGTCACAGACCAGACAGTCTGTTTTCGAAGAAGCATCGGTGTCTAGTTGGAATTCGGGGATCTTGAGGGGATTAGGGGGCATCAGGTGGCAAGACTGGAGGAGCCAGTTGAGAGCTGGATGGGGAGAATTGCCAGGGTGTGGTAGGACTTGGGGATTCAAGAGCCAGACCATCTGGCCATAGAGAACTAGGGATAGGAGTAGGGGCTTGGGGTCCCAGTGTCCGATGGGGTTGGGGGTGCTCCTTGGAAGACAGAGACAGACATGGATGGGGGTCCGTCCCATAAAGCGGACGGGGGCAGGGATCTGAGTGGGGAAGAGGAGGAAACCCTGCTTGTTTCCTA